TTCAAAGTAACAATTTCTAACTGATGCCCATTAGAGTTATCCTTAGAGTGAGGCATTTCTAATTATTTCCAAGATTATAAACTACTTGAAACTGGAGTCATACTTTTTACACCTTAAGATTTCCTACATCATCAAGTATCATAATCTAAAAATAAATGTTTATTAAATTGAATTGACTGCATAAGCTCATGGTCTTTTATTTTCAAACCCTAAGAAAATAAAATTTATTGAAGTAAAAAGACAATCTATTTCTCATGTTATAATGGACTCATATAAAACTCTCCAAGCTTGCAAATTATTTTCAAACATGTATTATGACTAAGAAAACAAGCTGTTAGTAAGAAAAACAAAGTTATATAAGATATCAAACAATTATTCCTTAGCCTTCGCTTCATATGATCAACTTTGTATGTGGATAAACTGTTTATTTTATCACATTTTCAAAAATAAAGAAGTTGTATGAAATTAAATTTTAGAATAGAGTAATAAGAGATAGCTGTTGAAATTCTGAATTTTCTTCATTACAGATATTTGGCTAATTGTTAACCCTTTATTCCTACCAGTAGAGGTGGGAAAGAGTGTGTTATGATAATTCTTTTGCTACATACAATAGCATTGTGCATTATACCAAATTAAGAAATTAAATTAGGCCTCACTGTCAGAGTAGCTAGAAAAACAAATTTGCCTAATTAAAGTTAAAGTACAGGTTGCTATTAGAATGATTTTTAGGCTATTTGTTGTATAAGAAATATCAATATGCAAGAAGGTCAGTACCAGAGTCTAGAAATCATATGACTATAGCATATACTATAGATAAGACAATATATTCATTAGGTATCACAGGAGTTCAATGTTAACACTAAAAACAAGAGAATATTTGAGTAACATTAATAAAGAGTAGTGAAGATAATTTTAATCACTCTGATTAATGCCAATGACAACAATAAAATCATGGCTTTTTCTAGAAAAATTTTTTTTTTAATCCTCAACAAAATTTTAGCAACAAAATTCAATACCACATTGAAAGGATTATATACCATGACCAAGAGGGATTTACTCCTGGAATGCAAGGATGGTTCAAACTACAAAAATCAATCAACATAACACACCACATGAACAGAATAAAAGACAAAAACCATATGACCATTTCAATTGCTACAGAGTGTTTGACAAAATTCAACATCTTTTCATGACAAAAAAATTCAACAAACTATGAATAGAATGAAACTATATCAACAAAATAAAGGCCACATACGGCAAGCTCAGAAATGACATCATACTCAGTGATGAAAGACTGAAAGCTTTTCCTCTAAGATCAGGAACAAGACAAGGATGCCCACTTTTTGAGACTTCTAGTCAATACAGGACTAGAAGTCTTAGCTGCAGCAATTAGGCAAGAAAAAGAAGTAAGTCATCCAAACTGGAAAGGAAGGAGCAAAATCATCTATTTGCAGGCATGATCTTATATGTAGACATGCCAAGATTCTACACACACACACACCCCTATTAGAATAAACACATTCAGCAAAGTTGAAGGATATAAAATCATTATACAAAAATGTTGCATTTCTGCACATTAACAATGAAAAATCCTAAAAGGGAATTAAGAAAACAATTCCATTTATAATAGCATCAAAAAGAATAAAATACTTAGGATTAAACCAAGGAGATGAAAGACTTGTACACCTGAAAACTACAAAATGTTGCTGAAAGAAGTTAACGATAACGATATATGGAAAGACATCCTGTGTTCATAGATTAATATTGTTAAGATGTCAATAATACCCAAAGTGATCTATCTACCAAAACAATGCAATCCCGATCAAAATCCCAATGTTTACTGCAGGAACAGTACAATTTATCCTAAAATTCGTATGAAATCTCAAAGGACCCCAAATAACCAAAATGGTCTTGAAAAAGAATGAAGTATGAGGACTCACACTCTCTGATTTCAAAATTTACTACAAAGCTACAGTAGTAGTCAAAGTAGTATCATATTGGTGAAAAGATGAATATAGACTGATGGAGTAGAGTCCAGAAATAGACATATATGGTCAAATAATTTCTGACAGGGGTGCCAAGACCATTCAATGAGAGGACAACCTTTTAAAGAAATAGTTTTGGAAAAACTGGATACCTACATGCCAAAAAATAAAGAAAAAGAAAAGTTGTATGCTTACCTTAAACCAAACACAAGTCAACTCAAAATGGATCAAAGAGCTGAATGTAATAGTTAAAACTATAAAACTCTTACAAGAAAACATAAGAAAAGCTTCATAACATTGGATTTGGCAGTTATTTCTTGGATACCACAAAAGCACAGAGCAATCAAAGAAGAAACAGATAAATTGAACTACATCAAAATTAAAACCAACTGTGTGTCAGAGGGTACAATAAACAGTGAAAATGCAATCCAAGGAATGGGAAAAATCTGCAAATCATGTACCTGATAAGGAGTTATTATCCAGAATACATAAAGAAAAACTCAACAAGAAAAAACTTACTTTAAAAACAGGCGAAGGATTTGAATAGGTATTTCTTCAAAGAAGACACTGAAAGTGTGAATAATACAAAATGATGCTCAATATGACTAATTATTAGGGAAATGCAAATCAAAACCACAGTGAAATACCATCTCATGTTCATTAGGACCGCTACTATCAAAAGTCCAGAAAATGTGTGTTGTGAGGATGTGGACAAATTGGAACCCTTGTGCACTGTTGCAAATGTAAAATGGTGCAGGCATTATAGAAAACAGCATGGCAGTTCCTCAAAAAATTAAAAGTAGAATTACCATATGACCCAGAAAAATTTCACTTCTGGGTATATACTTGAATGAAATGAAAGCATAGTCCCAAAGAAATTTTTGTATATCCATGTCTATGGCAGCATTATTCATAATAGCCAAAAGGTGCAAGAAACCCAAGGGTCCATAAATAGATGAATGGATTGGAGGAGGATGTAGCTCAGGGGGTAGAGCGCATGTTTAGTATGCACAAGGTCCTGGGTTCAATCCCCAGTAACCCTATTAAGATATATAAGTAAATAAGTAAACTTAATTACCTCTCCCTGAAACAAAACAAAACCAAAAATACCCCAGATGAATGGATAAACAAAATGTTATATATACATACAACAGATTATTCAGCCTTAAAATGGAAGCAAATTTTTTCACATGCTACAAATATGGGTGAACCTTGAGGACATTATACTAAGTGAATAAATACGCCAGTCAAAAAGGATAAATAATGCAATGATTCCACTTATAAGAGATACCTAGAGTAGTCGAAAATCAAAGACAAAGTAGATTGGTGCTTACCAAGGCTCGGAGGGGAGGGGTATTAGAAGCGACTGTCCAAAGGGTACAGTTTCAGTTTTGCAATGTGGAAAGATTTCTGGAGATGGAAGTGACTGTTGTACAATGAAGTGAATACCTGTAATACCACTAACTGCGTACTTAAACTGGCCCTTAAGATGGCAAATTTTACGTGTATTTTATATTTTTATGCACAATTAATTTATAACTAATTAATCAATTAAAACTTTTTTTAAAACTGAAAAAATGTGATTCTGCACTATTACATACAAGTGATCAAAGTTAACACCATTAACACTGGGAGAAACTAAAGTCCTTGTTTTTTGGGAAAAATACGCTGAAGTGTTGGGGGATTGGAGGCAAGTTGTCAGCAAGTTACTCCTACATGACAAAGTAAACATGGCAAAACGTTAACACTTGGTGTATATAGGTGAAGAGGATGGGGGAACTTACTTTTCCATTCTTGCAGTATTATTATAAATTGTTAACATTTCCAATTTGCTTTTCTTAAAAAAGCTATTCTTGTTGGCCAGCTTTGAGACTGAAATAAACCAAGCACCAATAATCATTTTTACAGAAACTAGTAACTTTTTAACATTTTGAATTCCTCAGGTGTGACTGTCACTTTAACACATGGCACGTTTTACCCTACCTAGGTGAAATTTTTGGATGACTGGAGCTTACCTCAGTAAATGCCAAAATGCTGTATTAATAATTTTTAAATCTTTTTAAAGTACTACTTCCTTTTCTGGTTAGAATTTTTAACGATGAGGGCCATCAACATCTGCTTCAGTAGGTGTCCGTTTTGTTGTTTTGTTTTTGCAGTTATCAATCTAAAGCAAGACGACGTTGAAGGATAGTTTTTCCGCCTCCATCTAGTGGTTATTTAGCTCTTAGCTGCTGTCTCTACACACCTGCTGTTTACAAGTATTACATTTGACCTTTTAAATTTGTTGAAAGGGTAAAGAGATCCTGACAGTTTCTTTTATAAGTAAAATGCATTTCATGCTATTTTGGTTGTTGAAAGGCTTTTATGGCCAGTAAGATTCTCAGGTGTTTTTCAAAATCAAGGTTGCCAAATAACCCTATCACAATTTGGATCATGAAATTTCTATAATTAAAATCAATGACTGATTTTTAGATTTAGTCATCTTGATTTATCAGAGATTCCTCATAAGTCTGCAGAGACTGTTAAAATGACTTTAAAAATCACAAAAATAGATTATTATACCTGTAAGCTGTATTTTCTTTACCCCGATTGCCCAACTGATTATCAGCCATTAGTATAGTCATTTTCAATGACATCCATGTTTCCTCTAAGACGGTATTTCTCAATCTTTTTTTCATTGTAGGACACCTCAAGGAGAAAACAGATTAAAATGAATTAAAATCAAATAATTAAAAATTTCCCTGAGAGAAATACTAAGAAATAAGGTTGTCAGTATTTTGTTCCACCCTCCACCTACTAGGACACTGCAGTTCAATTCTGACACTAACCACCTGGAGTCAGCATCCGACCCCACAGGTTTAGGGCTCAGTCCCCCACAAGCTGCCCCACCCTGAGCAGATGGCTGCAAGTGGGGTCCCTCCCCACTTCAGACTGACTGACAAATGCGGGATCCCCACAAACCCCTCACCCTCAAGAACTGGCTAAAATGATTCACAGAACTCAGGAAAGCACTGCATTTGTAACTAGTTTTATTATAAAGGACTCAAATGAGGAGGATCAGCCAAATGCAGACATGCACAGGGTTGGAGTCTGGGAGGAAACACAGGGCTTCCACACCTTTTCTTTGTGGAGTCAAGGCACATCATCGTTTCAGCACATCAGTGTGTTCACCCAGCAGGAAGCTCCACTGAGCTGTGTCCAGAGTTTTGAACTGGGGTTTCACTCCTTGGGCGCTGCCGGCTACGTCATCCGGGATGCAGCGAAGTCATCTGAGCATGAGCATCACCCTGTCATCGAGCGGCAGCCTCTGATCGTGTGGTAGGTCTTTCTGGCGACCAGCCCCCATCCTACAGCTTCTAGGGTCTACCGAGACTCACCTCACTAGCATCACAAAGACACTCCTGTCACCCAGGAAATCCCCAGGGTTTTGGAAGCTCACTGTCAGGAACCAAGCAAACTCCTTGCTGTACCGCAGTTGGGTAGACTGACCTCTGCAGGGTCACAAATCACTGTAGTATCTAAGATTTTTTTTTCCCACTCACCAATAACCAATTTTCACTCCTAAGGAGAAAGTATCCTTGAAGACAATGAAGACACAGCCCCCCAAAACCAGAATGGAATTTTATTGTGTAAAGTTTATAGAAGCACGTACGACTAGTATTCCTCTGTACAAAGTGCACAACAAATGGTTTTAAATACAACCGAGAGAAATGTGAGTCCTATGACATTTCATACAAGCTGAATCATTTACACTAAAAAATTTTTTTAAAATATCATCTTTCTCCAAAGAGTCCACTGCGCATTTCTTAGCAGAGATGGGGAAACATCCCAGGCCAAGTCACAACGGCATTTTATTGCCCTCGATGCTGATTTTTACTGCGTGTGCAGATCTGCTTTTTTTCCTGATGTCTGTGAACTTTCTCATCTGTTTATCCAGCCGACTGATACCCTTCTTGGACGTCCCCTGAAACTAAGAGTGGGGTGAAAATTAAAGAGCAAATTATTGAAACAAGTAACTCTAGTTCTGTCTTTCATCTTCTTTTATCTGTAAGTTGGCAGTCAGAAGTGCTCCTAGCGCTGGAATACCCAGATTATGTTTTGGTGACCTCAGGAGACAGAGCAAGCGTACACAGCAGTGTTAGAAAAGCGTATGAAACTCTCTCAGTGAAGCACAATTCCACTGTTATCTGTGCCTTATTTTTAGATTTTGCCTCAAGTCCATGGACACCTGCTAGATGAGAGAAAGGGGGAGAAACGGAAACTGTGACCCTTCTAATTCCATCAGATTACATTTTGACTGTATGCTCCTTCCTTTCAAAGACCAAACGTGGGGCTAACCATTCGAGGCAGACACCTTCAAACAGTGCTGGCACAAAGAACAATGATCTTCTAAAAGGCAGAGAAAGTCCTCGAGAAAACGCCTCAAGCATAAGAATAAGGTTAGAGGATTAGAAAAGCGAACCTGTTACGTGCTTGCTGGGGCTCTAAACTCAGATGAGAAACTGGCCAGGGTTCTGTAACCTGGGCAAGTCACCCCCTCGTCTTAACTACCTTCAGGACTGCTGGGAGCCGTGAATCAGGTAAGAATGCCAAATACAACCACACAGGCCAGCACATAAGCAGTGCTCAAAAGAAGTATCACCAATTACTACTATTATTGCTACTTCACAATCATTAGTTTGACACAAAAATAAAAGTAAACTGTCTCTTGATCCAAGGGGCTTATTACTTCATCTCTTCCTGCTTGCCCTTTCTGTTCAAAGTCTGCTTGTTA